AAAAGTCGCCTCAAAGGTCTCTTCTACCCCTTCAGGTCCCCCAAAGAGAGGTGAGTGGGTCTCTTTGGGCTCAGCTGTCCCTGGATCACCCTCTGGGAGGGAAGTGTCCAACTGCTAAAGAGCTTTACTTCAGTTGTGGTGCACACCTTTGAGCTGCTTACCTGTGCTTCTTGGACCTGGTTGTGTGTGTGTGTGTGTGTGTGCATGTGTGTATAATCCATGTGTGTCTGTGTATATGTCTGTGCGTGTATGTGTATATGTGTGTGCGCACACGCATGTGCGTGCGTATATCTGTGCATGTGTCCGCGTGTATGTGTGCGTGTGTGTATATATGTGTGTGCGCGTGTGTGTGTGTATAATGCGTGTCTGTGCGTATGTCTGTGTGTGTATGCATATGTGTGTGCATGCGCGCGCGTGTGTGCGTGTGTTTATATGTGCGTGTGTGTCCGCGTGTATGTGTGTATATATGTGTGTGTATATATGTATGTGTGCATTTGCGCACGTGTGTATATGTGTGTGTGTGCATCTGCACACACATGTGGAAGGCCAAAGGATGTCAGGTGTCCTGCTTTCTCTCTCTCCACCTATTCCCTTGAGTCAGGGTCTCTCATTGAATCTGGAGCTCAACTGGCGGCCAGTGAGTCCCAGACATCCTCCTGTCTCCACCCCCACAGTGCTGGGGTTGCTATACCCAGCTTTTTTTTTTTTTTTTCGTCTTTTTGAAGCAGGGTAACCCCTTCTTGGCTCATGGACTGTACAGACAGGGAAACAGGAACAAGATTTACCAGCAGACTGTCTGAACCATTCTGATCCTCCTGTGTCCTGCTCCTGAAGTCTCGGACTACAGGCACGTGACACTATACCTAGTTTATGTGTTGCTGAGCCCCAGGGCTTCATGCATGCTAGGCAGGCACTCTGCAACTGAGCCACATCCCTCCCTAGCCCCATCAGAGTCTCACTACAGTCTAGCCTGGAACATACTACTTAACCCAGAATCACTTCAAAGCCCCAAACCTGCCTCTCGACTACCAGCATAAGGAACCTCCGTGAGACCTCACTTTACTTCATTTTCCTTTCTGTGTCAGTAGCCCCACGCTGCTGGTGGCTACTATCCCTAATCACATAGTACCCAAGTCCCCCGTCACAAGCATGGGACCTGGACAGTCACTCAGTGTGCCTGATCTTCACAGTTCTCAGTCTGTAAAATGAGAAGAGCTGGTCTCCTAGGCCACAGTGCTGGACTAGTTCCACTGTGTGACTGCTGGTGGTGCTGCTGTTCCAGTGGGTACCTGGAATCAGACAGATCAAATCCAGGTCTCCAGGTTTCCATGCACGCACACGTCCACACCTCTAACTGCCGGTGTACTCGGACCAGCTCCCCAGCCGACTGCAGCAGCTACACTCACCCTGATATTTTACTCTTATTAGTGAATATTAATAGTTCTTCTGGAGTTATGTTTTAAAGGTGGTATTTGGGTTCCACTGCTCTTGCACTTTCTCCTATAGTTCTGTAGTTCAGACTGTGCATGTATCTGGGTTGGCTTTCACTCATTCTGTTTTGTACTTCCTGAATCGGTGGCCCTTTATCTTACAGTAGTATTGAAAAATTGTCTAACAGTGTTAGTGGCTCCTACCAGGACTACGTCTTTGCCTTACTTGCAGGCGAATTTCGTGATTATGTATTTTTTGTTTTAAATAGTCTTACGTGGTTATCTTTATTTCTGTTTGTTCATCATTGACTCAAGAGGAAAATAAGTAGGAAAAAAGGAAACAAAAACTGTTTTCCTAATTTGAAGGGGATATTTGTGAATTTTATAATTAGTTGAGTTAGTACAACAAGATCACTGAGGTCATACTAAGTTAAATATGAGTCACAGTTTAAGTTGACTATCATAAAAAAATTTCTGACAAATTACTCAATTTTTTAAAATTTATTATTTTTATGTGTATGAGTGTATTGGCTGCATGTATGTGAGTGCACCCGTGTTGTGCAGTGCTGCGGAGGTCAGAGAAGACTTGGATTCTCCTGGAACTGGGGTTAAGGACGGTTCGTAGCCACCATGTATGTGGGTGCTGGGAATTGAGCCCGGGTCCTCTGCAAGAGCAATCAGTGCTATTAGCCACTGAGCCATCTCTCCAGCCCCTAACTTTGTTTTTTAAAAAAAAGTCTGGCAGGGCATAGTGGCTCATACCTTTAATCCCAGCACTTGGGAGGCAGAGGCAGGCAGATCTCCATGTGTCTGAAGCCAGCCTGGTCTACATACATGGTCTACATAGAACTACATAGTGAGACTCTGTCTCAAAAAAAAATTACATAAGCACCCAAAAGATTCTTAATTATAAACCTTTCAGAATACATTTTTAAAAATCTATGAAGAAAAAATATCAAACTAATAAAAACATCAGGAGAGGAAATAAGTAAATAGAGATTCCATGTTGTACATAGAAAAGACTCAATA